GAGCCATATAATCTTGGTGTGAACGTTCCACTGGGTTTAAGGGATGTGTACTGACTCTGTGAGATGAAGCCTTGTTGTTTCAGTCTTTTGAATGTTTCCGCTAACTGTTTCTCTATCTTTTCAATCGGATCCAGAGAAGAGATTTTTTGGAATTGTAGATTATCATTAAGAATAGTATTCATCTTCTCAAAGTAATTCACTTTGTTCATGATATCTACTCCTGAGCCCTTATCCGGTCTTGTTATTATTATGTTTTCATTTTTGCGGAGATTATCCAGAGCTTCTCTATGTTTTTTGGTTAAGATACTATTCGAATTGCATTTACTATTCATGTAATAATAGCAACAAACGATCAGTGTTGATTGAAGTGTTTCAACATCTTCAGTTGACGAGGGTGTTAGGCCTTCCGTTTGAGTGTAGAGACTTTCGAACTAAATTTGTGCATCCATTTTGTTAATTTTTACATTACTATCACAAAATTTAGGGCCAAGCGATAGAACCTGTAGATTCACTTCACTAAGTATTACATCCAAAAAATTAAACACAAAACGATTTGGGTTCGGAGGAAATCTTATTTCAGGTGCCTTGTTCTCTGAGCTCTGTGCCAGCTTCAGGCCTTTCTTTTCTTTCCTATTACTCACAATTACATCCCTATAAACTAAAAATGGTTTCCTTAAGTTTTCTGGTAATTCATCGACAGCATAGAACCTTTCTGTTATGTTCTTCAATAACTCAGTAATACACGAGTGAAATGAGTCAATTACCTTTAAAAGTATTGATTATAATCCGGGTTCTCTTTTACTATAACACAATGTTAGTTACTGGTGCTCATTTCAATAATTCAGGAAGTACTCGGTTTTGTGAAAATCATTATGCTTTATCCAGAAATTATTACTATTGTGTTGTTACTGTCGGATGCTCAACTCCTCACTTTCCATTTAGGTTTCACTCGAAGGGACGATGTGTACTGTCATTTGAAGGTCTCCTCAGCATATATATACGGTTCATCTGCATTTCCTTCTCCATGTTTGTTTGTCTGTAGGTTCTTATCTGTCCGACTGCACTGCTAGAGTTCCCCATTGTTTATTTTTTTCCAACCGGACACCTGAACTTCAGTATCATAGCAGTGAAGACAATTGCTGATGGGAACTTCAACCAGGCTGTTGGAAGGGCTTTCGGTAAGGTATGCACCAAATTTCTGAAGCACACAGAAATGACGACTTGGCCCTGATGTTGAAAATTTGGATATTGTTGTAGATAATCACATTGCTTTCTTGATCCTAATTGCTTTTGATATCCTTATTCGTGTTTCTACCCAGAGCTGAAATATTACTGCTCAGCTCAGGTTGGGGAAGGAGATAATTTTCTTTAGATTTTTCTCGCTGATGGTGATTGGTGTTGAATATCTTCTCTATTTTATTCTTTTCTGTTTATATTATAGCTTGATTCCAAACCGTATTTTGGTACAACTATGGAATTTTCAGCATTTGATATCGGTAGCTCAAATTTAGCAGACCGACCATTGATATCATGTGTGCATCGGCTAGGGATCGAACCCCGAACCATGTGCATGGTCGGCGAGCATTCCAACCGCTGTACCACCGACGCATAGTCCTACTTACTGAGAGTTACTTATTCTTCAACTAACATAGTGGAAATCCCCCTGGAATCCTGTCTTGGCTGCCTCTTCTGTCAATTTCTTAGTTTTCTCTTGTAAATCTTCGAGTTTTTGTGACGTTAGACTGAAGTCATTTATGAATTTAATATTAATGTACTCTCATCTTCTAGGTTTCTGAGACCTGTCGAATAAATCAGTCTGTTACACCCAACAACAACAACAGCAACATCCAGAGCCAATCACCATCAACGCGAGGGATTTGAAAGAGGTTACTTCATTCACTTCACCTATCTAGGGAGCATTGTCTCAACTACACGAGGAACGGACGAGGATGTCAAATCGAGCGAGAATCGGGAAGGCGAGAAACACATTCATCAACCTGAAACAACCAATCTGTAAAGCTTCGTCACTCAACTCAGCATCAACAACAAAATTCGGTAGGATTTTCAATACAAACATCGTCAAGTCAGTCACTTCTTCTGTACGGATCAGGAACTTGGCGGGTGGGTCACAAAGAATATTTCCAACAGCCTGTTGCAGACCTTTATCAACCAACAACTGTCTTCGCTGGATCTATACTGAAGATCAGATGGCCGGGTCGGAAAGAATCTCCAACAAGAAACTATGGCTGGGAACAGACAAAACAAGAACTAATCAATCGCCCAATAAATGTGCAAGAGGAAGTGGAGATGGGTTGGACACTCATTCGCTGAGGAGGCTGCTGGGTGACATTGCGCGCGCGTCAGGCCATTGCTCGAGTGGAACCAGGCCGAAAGGGAAGCGGCGAGTGGGACGTCAGTGCAAGGGTGACATGGAGAAGATCGTGTGAAGAGGAGTGGAAAGAGTATGGACTAACCTGGATGCAGGTGAAAAGTACAGCAGAAGGAAGACAGAAGCAAGTGGAGACGTGCAGTTGAAACCTTATGTTCCACTAGAAACTTAAGGGAACAATAATAATAACACAGTTTTGTCTTAGTCCTTTCTTCACTTCTTCCAAGGTCTCAATCAGTCTTCCGTTGTGACTTACTTGGCATATGAAATCCTCATCATGTAGCCATCGGGGAAATGAGACTTATTAAAGACACTGTTTCTTTAACTTACTGAAAACAGTCAACAAAGTTTTTCTTTGAGATTTTTAAGTAGTATGCATGTATACCAACGTAATCTTATCACAATCCTAATGGTGCAGACAATAGACAAATCATGTAATTGAAATATGGTTGGATTTCTACCCCAGTCTATAAGGTAAATGATGTGAATATGATTATTAAATATGCTCATTAGAGAAGAAAGCATCTTACCTTATAAATAAAAAACATATAAGTTTATCCGTGCATATTATCACTAAAAAATGTTTAATCATCATTCTTGTTATCATAATCAACTCTACATTTTTTTCCAACTTCAATATTTTTTAAAATTTATTTCACTTTTCTATACGTAATATTGTAATTCATGAAATTTTCTAGACATTCTAATTATAAAGCGAACTTGATATATATGTGACGTGATGGTTGATTTGTTACATATATGCGTGAAATAAACATTACTGGTTTATTTCTGAGAATTATTTCTATGATATGGCACATGGCTTGGAAATTGCAGAATAAGAAAGCTCTATTCTCCTCAAGTTTGCTGAAGCAATCACCACCAAACACCTGAAAACAAAACCGATTTTTGTGTTGAGAAGGAATGCAATTATTAGTCTTTCCTTGCTCTCCATTTCATTTGATTACGTAATCTTTGGCTTTAACATCAGCCCCTCTTTAACATAGTGTTATTTTGCTTGTCTCTTGTATCTAGGATTTAAGTTGGACTCACCACATTGGTACACAATTTATTAGTTACTCATAGTCTTACGTACATCTCGTCTTTATTACATAGCTCCTTTACCATTGTATGCATACATTTACTTTGTTTAAACTTGAACTCCATGTGTAAAAACTATCCAAGTGTATTTTCCTGAAGGGTGTTCATTAAGTTTGAAACCTTCTGTCAACTGATATCATGTAACAGAATTTGTAGGTATGTTAAAACTTTTGTGTACATAAACTTAATAATTTTTTTAAACTGTAAGGGACTGATGAGGAGCCAACGAAATAAATGATGGTACCATAATCACATTTCTTTACAACTTTTCCTTGTGAAAATGGATAGTAAACTAACCAGAGAATACTTGCCAATACTAATCAATACAAATGAGAAATTGAATATGAATGATAGAATTACTTAGTGAGATAAAGTATTTAGTAAGTGATTTGTAACTTGCGTGCACAGGAAACAAAGGAAATGTCATGTTACCTAAGATTCCGAGAAGGCGAGATGAATCGGAAAGCGACAGAGAAATAAAGTAAGTAAAGCGATTAGGTTGAAAACAAAGTAGGGTCTATACAATGATAAGAGAAGTAGATGGAAGATTTCCTTTTGTATGCACAGCTCCGATTTCTCCATCTGGATAGCTAGAACTTCAGCGGTGCAAAGGAGGCGAAAGCCGATCGTATTACGAGGGTTACTTTTCACCTTGTAGATCATTTTGAAGGAGGAGTTTATTGAGATAGAGTGACCAATGTGTACACGGTGTTCAGTTGTTACACTTCTTATAGATCCGCTGCTGTCTTTCTGCAGCCATGCGTGATATTGTTCTTGAACCATTTTAGAGATGATACGCGTCAAACGATCAATATATATCTGGCTCCATAAGAACAGGTGGATTGATATCCACACGCAGAATTGGTCGGATGTAAGATATTGTCCTTTGGGTTTCTGCAGACCATTAGGAGACTGATGGACACTATTCTCAGCTTTGCTGCGGAGAAAGTTCTCCTTGAAGGAGCCCTAAATTCCGTTCTTAAGGACATCACTAAGTAGGTTACCTTCGGAGTCAAAGTTTATGTAATTTCTTTAGCATGGATGACATCTCTTGTCTTTGAATTTTCTGCTTGATGTTCTTCGGAATAAATTCTCGTGGACATGAAGATTTCTTTCGAAAAGTGTAATTCTTTTTTCGAGAGCCTCATGTTTGCAGATGCATCGGACGCGAGTAGCACGAGATACAATGAGGTTTCATTTGCGACTAATTGGTGCCCAATTATAGAAACCTGTCAGTTAGCTGTTTCGTGTGGTTTCTCTATGGATGGGCCATGTTACAGTTCCATCGGTTTTTTCTGAATTTCAGTGTCAAGAAATAAATTTCGGATTCATCTTCTGTTGATGATGAAAAGAGACGGAATCCAAGTGCTGGGAATATGTGAAAGCAGATGGAATGGGAATGGACTCACCAAATTGTCAACGGGTGAGTCGGTGATCTACTCCGGTCACCCAAAAGATAACCACACGCACACCGAGGGCGTGGCTATCATGATGTCACCAACGGCAACAAAGACCCTGATGCAATGGGAGGCGATCTCGTCCAGGATAATGACCGCCAGATTCAACTCCAAAGGAAGGAAAGTGTCAATCATACAATGTTATGCACCCACAAACAACGCAGACCTCGAGAAGAAAGAAGAATTCTACAGGCAACTACAGGCAACAATGGACAATACTCCAGCTGGCGACATGAAAATACTAATGGGAGACATGAACGCCAAACTGGGACCAAACAACACAGGAAGGGAACTCATCATGGGTAGAGAAGCTCTCGGAGAAATGAATGAAAATGGAGAACTCTTCGCCGACTTCTGCGCCTTCAACGAACTAGTGATTGGTGGCAGTGTATACAAGCACAAAGATATCCACAAGGCTACATGGGTGTCACCAGACGGGCAAACCAAAAACCAAATCGACTTCATCTCAATGCTGCTCAAGGAAGTGGAGGCGCAGCCTACTGGACACAAAAGCAAGAAGAGGAGCAGACGTTGGCTCAGACCACTATCTCGTACAAGGGACAATCCAAATCAAATTAAAAGCTTTCAGGGAAACAGGAGCTGCAGATAGACCACAAGCCAAGTTCAACACTCAAAAGCTGAAGGACCAGGCTACAAAGGACATCTTCATTGCAAGCATAAAGGACAAAGCCGAGACACAAATCAACACCAGCGAAGAGGTCGGCGTCGAAAAGCACTGGGACAACTTGAAAACGGTGTGGAGTCAAACCTGCATAGAAGTTCTAGGCAGAAAGAAGAGACAGGACAAACAGTGGCTCACTATGGACACTTGGAAACTAATAGAAGAGAGAAGGACAGTGAAACAAAAGATTATCCAGTGCACTGACGAGCAACAAAAACAGGAGCTGAATGCAAGCTACAATACACTGAACAAAAGAGTGAAGAAGTGTGCCAGGGAAGACAAAAGAAAATATTATGAAACCATGGCAAACGAAGCAGAACAAGCTGCAGGCAAAGGAGACCTCGCCACACTCTACCAAACAACTAGGCACCTATCGGGCAAACGTTCGACACAGATTAAGCCAATAAAGGATGACAATGGAAAGTCAATCACCAAAGAGGTGGAACAAAGGAAACACTGGGCTGAACACTTCAAAAGACTTCTAAATCGTCCGCCACCTACAACGCGCCCAGCAATACCAACAACGGAAGCAGAACTACCAGTGAACACTGACCCTCCGACGAAATCAGAAGTCCTGAATGCAATCAAGATGCTAAAAACTGGAAAAGCAGCAGGACCAGATGGAATCCCAGCAGAGGCTTTGAAAATGGACCCAGAGACAACAGCGGACTTGATGACACCACTACTGGAGAAGGTGTGGAAAGAGGGCAAAGTACCCGAGGATTGGAAGAACGGATACTTATTCAAACTACCAAAGAAAGGAGACTTAAGTCAATGTAAAAACTGGCGTGGAATTATGCTTCTGTCCATTCCAAGCAAGATACTAAGTCGCATCATCCTGGAGAGAATCAAACAAGCCCTAGATGAAAAACTTCGACTGGAACAGGCTGGATTCAGGAGAAACAAATCATGTGTTGATCAAATCGCCACTCTACGGATCATCATTGAACAAAGCTTGGAATGGCAGTCACCTCTCTATCTCAACTTCATCGACTTTGAAAAGGCCTTCGACAGCGTCGATCGAGAGGTGATTTGGCAACTACTTCGCTACTACGGGATGCCATCGACAATTATACATCTCATCCGACAGTTGTATAACAATGCTGCATACCAAGTAATCCACAACGAGAGAATTACGGAAGCCTTCGAAGAGAGGATGGGAGTGAGGCAAGGCTGTCTATTATCGCCAATGATTTTTCTGATTGCAGTAGATTGGATAATGCGACAGACAGAATGGGCAACAAGGAAACAGGCATAAAATGGACTCACACAAAAACTTGGAGGATCTGGACTTCGCTGATGACATATGTCTGGTTTCCCACTAACTGGAATACATGCAAGTGAAAAGCAACAAGTTAACAGAAGAAACATCCAGATAAGATAGGACTTCAGGTGAACATAGAGAAAACTGAGGTATGTGATGTAGATTCCTGGCCAACACCAACAGCCACAGCAACAACAACAACAGACAACAATCAACCTGCATAAATGGGAGGAATCTGAAAGAAACAACCTCCATTAACTACCTATCTACCTACCTACCTGGGAAGTATCGTTTCAACTACAGGCGGAAGTAACTGATGAGGATATCAAAGCGAGGATCGGGAAAGTAAGGCAAGCTATCACTACTCTCAAGTCTGTGTGGAGATCAACATCACTCAGAATCAAAAATAACATCCGGATTTTCAACTCCAATGTGAAGTCAGTGCTACTTACTATACGGATCAGAGACTTGGCGAGTCATAAGGAGCATCTCAAACAAACTTCAGACCTTCATTAACAGTTGTCTTCGCTCAATACTCAAGATCAGATGGCCGGGCAGAAAAGATCAGTAACTGGGATGGATCTCTAACAATGGGCGAACCAACCCTCAGGAACCAATTGTGCAGCAAATATGCAGAGAGAAATGGAGTTGGATTGGCTATACTCTCAGAAAACAAACCATCATTAAGTGACCTCACAAGCCAGGCCATAGCTCGAGTGGAACGCGAATGGGAAGCGGTGAGTTGGTGGCAAGTGTGAGGATGACATGGATGAGGTCATGGGAAAAGGAGATGAAAGCATGTTGGCAGATATGTATCCAGATGAAAACGTTGGTGGAGAACAGAACGCAATGGAGATGTGTGGCTGAAGCCCTGTGTTCCTCTAGGAATTAAGGGAAACAGTAATGACAATCAGAATACCTAAAGAGTGACTATCATCCATTTATAAATAAAATGGTAATTTTCGTCCTTCATTTCGGCAAGTCATCTTCCAATTGAATATGTGACAATGTCTTCTCTCTTAATATGCAAGTCTGAAGTCAATACCCTTGCAACTGCATCTGTTTTAACAAGCATATTACGTTGCAGTTACTGTTTGATAAAACATTACACAAGTAAATGATAATTTTAATACGCAATATTAAATTTATGACACACATGACCCAAGGTTCGATCCCTAGTGGATACACTCTTCAACCTTGTTAAGCCTGCAATATTTAAGATAAAGAGGGAAAGCCAGGTAGGAGTGAGGCTAGCTACCCCACCCTGTAAACAAAAATAAAACCATTCTAAATGAAACTGTAATGCTCAAAACTTGAGGCCCTATGTTCTAATCGGAATACAAAAGGAATAAAAAATAGTAAAAATAGAAGTGGATGAGGATAAAAGACGTCATAGTTTTTGCCTGATAGCTTATAGAGAAACTGTAAATTAAACCACAGTGTCTCTCTCATCTCATAACGTATGGATAACTTATTGAACATAAATGGAAATTAATAGGTTTAACACAATATATATGTGATATACTAATGAGTAGTATGTCATTGTGATATTAAAATACTGAAGACCATAACACACAAACCGGGCGTTCCGATCAGGCTGACACCATACCTATAAAAAATGTGACTTTATTCAATAGATCGAATACGAGTAGTCGTTAAGATACACACAATAACCTTAATAAAAAAGTGATTAGTATTTCAAGATCACTCACTTCTTACCATACAAAGAAGTAGACACCATTTGCACAAATTTAATATACAGTATTCAAGGTAAACACAATTACGCATCAAAGTAGTATAGGGAAGGCTCTGTGAACTAAGCATTTATCATCACTGCTTGCTTGATCAAATCGGAACTGTCATCCAGATCTTACAGAGAACACACTGTCATTTGGCAGTATAATCAAGTGCTGACCACTGTCTGACTGCATATAATGACAGGTTATTCAGAAAGCTTAAACCATTCCTGAACTAGAATCAGGATATATTTCAGTACTTTCTGAATAATTCACTAACATTTTATTTCATTGATGAAATACTTTTCATCCAAGCATTATTAGAAAAAAATGATATGTAGTTCAGTGAATAGTCTCCGTACGGTGAATTCATTTTATTATTATATTATTTCGATAAAGAAAGGAAGACGAAATTTGCAGTATAAAATGATATCATTCTATTTCACAGGTTCTCATCAGCTGCAGACTATCTGAAATTACAATGGTTATATAGATGATAATAACATACTTTAATGTTCGAGTGGTGGTAGAAAAGAGATACTATAAAATTGACGCATCTAAATGAAAGCATTACAATGTTTTTAGTTTAAGTTTTCATCATCAATTTATACGCTTTTAAAGTTGAAAAGAGGGGGAGGGGTAAGAGAGAAAACAGAAAAATTGATTAAACAGAACAGTGTTAACTTGTAGGTTCACATAGCAACTCAAGAAACAAAAAAAAACAAAAACGGTTACAGTTTATGAGGTTAAGATTTGTTCAGTGAGTTGAGATCACTGAATTAGATGACTAATCAAAATCAAAATTCTGTTACCAAGGGAGTGAGAGGTTAATCACACTCTCTTTCTGTATGCGTAAGTCTGGTTTACATCGTTTGTTTGCGATCGCTTCGGCAAATCGTAGTAAATTTGCTGTCCTTTGTCTATTTAATATTTTGAAGGATTTAGAAATCTCTACGAGATGTCCAGTATCAATAATGTGTCTTGTAATTGCACTCTGGGAATATCTGCTTCCTTTCAGGCACAGGTTTTTGGGAATATGTTCAGAAAACCGAATAGAAGCCCTTCTTTCTGTCCTTCCAATGTACTTGCTCCCGCAAGTGCACGTGAATTCATAAACGCAGTTGGAGGTGACATCAGCAGGGTATTTATCCAGTTTTGAGCGTACCACCACTCGAACATTAAAGTATGTTATTATCACCTATATAACCACTGTAATTTCAGGTAGTCTGGAGCTGATGAGAACCTGTGAAATAGAATGATATCATTTTATACTGCAAATTTCGTCTTCCTTTCTTTATCGAAATTTATCAAGGGAACCAAATGTATGAGTTATATTATTTATTATGTCCTTTCATTCCTAGAGGAACACAGGGCTTCAGCTGCGCACCTCCATTTCCTTCTGTTTTCTGCCAACTTTTTCACTCCGCTCCAAGTCTCCCCACATGCTTTCATCTCCTCCTCGCATGACCTCCTCCAAGTCACCCTTGGACGACCAACTCGCCGTTTCCCTTCCGGGTTCCACTCGAGGCCTTGTCTAGTGATGTCGCTTGATGGTTTCCTCAGGGTGTGGCCAATCCATCTCCATTTCTCTCTGCATATTTGCTGCACAATTGGTTCCTGAGGGGTTGGTTCGCCCATTGTTAGAGATCCATCCCAGTTACTGATCTTTTCTGCCCGGCCATCTGATCTTGAGTATTGAGCGAAGACAACTGTTAATGAAGGTCTGAAGTTTGTTTGAGATGCTCCTTATGACTCGCCAAGTCTCTGATCCGTATAGTAAGTAGCACTGACTTCACATTGGAGTTGAAAATCCGGATGTTATTTTTGATTCTGAGTGATGTTGATCTCCACACAGACTTGAGAGTAGTGATAGCTTGCCTTACTTTCCCGATCCTCGCTTTGATATCCTCATCAGTTACTTCCGCCTGTAGTTGAAACGATACTTCCCAGGTAGGTAGGTAGATAGGTAGTTAATGGAGGTTGTTTCTTTCAGATTCCTCCCATTTATGCAGGTTGATTGTTGTCTGTTGTTGTTGTTGCTGTGGCTGTTGGTGT